TGGTAACGCCGACGACATCCAAACGTCGACCGGTCACGCCGGCCTTCTCAGCACTCCGACCCCTCCGACCCCTCCGACCCCTCCGAGCCCTCCGAGCCCCCCGACCCCGGCTCGGCAGCTCGCCTACGGCGAAGGCGTGCGGACCGACCTGCGGCACCGCGAGGCCGTCGGCGAGCGTCGGCAGCACCTCCGCCGTCACCGGGTGTCCCGCCCGCAGCGCCGCGGTGTACGAGGCGCAGCGCCGCGGCTCGACGCCAACCACCTGCGGGCGCCGGTCGTCGGGGTCGGGGTCGGGGCGGAGGCTGGGTCGAGGGTTCGGAGGCCAGACACCCGCCAACCTGCACCGCCGGGTTGAGCGTCTTGGCGGCGAGGGCGATGCCGGCGATGAGGCCGCCGCCCCCGATGGGCACGACGAGCACCTCGCAGTCGGGGACCTGCTCCAGCATCTCGATGCCGAGCGTGCCAGTGCCCGCGATGACCTCGACGTCGTCGTAGCCGTTGATGTAGGTCAGTCCCTGCAGCGCGGGGTCCTGCAGCGCATAGTCCTTGGCCTCGCCGATGTGGTCTCCGTGAATGATGATGTTCGCGCCGAAGAGCCTGCAGTTCTGGACCTTGGTCATCGGCGCGACGGTTGGCATCACCACTGTCACCGGCACGCCCAGCTGCGAGCCGTGCCACGCGAGGGCTAGCGCGTGGTTGCCGGCAGAGGCGGCAATCACGCCGCGCCGCCGCTGCTCCTCGCTGAGCGACATGATGGCGTGCGTGCGCCGCGCTCCTTGAAGGAACCCGTGACCTGTGACTGATCCTTCTTCAGGTGGATGCTACAACCCGTCATGTTGGACAGGTGGTACGACGGCCTGCACTCGGTTCGGACGATGCCCGACTGATGCGGTGGTGCGCCCGAACGACGTCCTCGAACCGGACACAGTCGTCGGCTGGAAGGTCATGAGCCGCTGCGGAGGAGAAGGCGCGCAGGCGGCGAGACGAGCGCAGGCAAGGACGGAGCCGACGCATTGTCGAGACGCATTGTAGGAATTGGAGAAGGCTTCCGCGCGCGGCGACGGCGGGCCGCCGCGGCGCTCCCGCTCCTCGTCGCCTGACGCGCCGCCTGCGAAGCGGGCCTCTTCTGCCGGCTCCTCTGTCTCCGGCTTACGACTCCGAGACACCGGACGAGATCACGAATGAGGCGCTCCTCCGGGCTTGCCGCGCATACGGCCTAGGCGAGCGCTTCCTCGCTGCGGCGCAAGAGGAGGGCACCTTTGGCGAGTGGTGGCTCGACGAGCTGCCGATCGAGGTGGCTGCGGCGATCGCCCGGCTGATCAAGCACTACTCCGCGCTCCGGCGCGTGGGTCGAGAACTCGCCCGGCAGCCCTAGCCGGGCCCCGCGCGCTGGCCGCGACCGCGACCACGGCCCTCACTCGAGCCCGGAACCGTCCGACTGTAGCGCCTAGCACACCTCTGTCAAGAGTCCCCAGAAACCCGAGGAATCACACAGTCCTGTGTGATGCACGCCCTGCGAGCGGGGCGGGGGGCGCACTGTGCCTCTGTGTTCGTGCGTCGCCCATCTCTCCTGGAGATGACTGAGCTCTATTTATTTACAGTTTTAAGGAGAAGAGGCGGACGCCTAAGGGTGTGGGCGACGGCTAGCGCATCACACTCCTCTCCTTAAAATCCCTGTGTGGTGGCGGCGTGCCGTCCTCCCATCCCTCCCTTGCGCCTTGGGTTGTCTGTTTTCTTTCACTTTCTTTACCAATCAATAAAGCGGTGCAAAAGTCCCAAGGAAATCTAACAACTTCATCATTTGGGTTTGGCATTTGCTCTGGGGGGAGGCGGGGCTCCTAGGGGGTACCCATGCGGGGGGGAGATGGGGTCCCATGGCCCGCCGCAGGCGGCCATTTGTTTCGCGATTTTCTCTTTTTTGCGCGATTTTCTACTTGTTCATGAGAATTTCGCGTATTGCGACCATGCTATCACGCCTTGCGACAGCCTGTCGGCGCTGCTGACCGTGCCCTGCTGCACAATTGATCACCTGCATAGCTCGCGGCCTTAGTATCAGGCATTCAGTGATGACCTGATCCTACGGCCAGGAAGGTGTCCTTCCAGCGCGTGCACGCTTCTGACGCAATGCGCGTCGCCTCGGATTGGCTGCTGGCACTCTCGAGGCTATGCCTACACAGCCTCGCGCGCATGGGCAGTCAAGAGGGACCATGCACCTTCTCACGACAGCGCCGGTGCCTCTCTCTTGGACCGGCAAACGTGGTGGTCTCGTGTCACCAATGTGGGACCAGTGCGGCATCGCGCCATCGACAGCTCTGAACTGCGCCTCACCACTGACCGGGAAGGCTGCCAAGTGGGTCAGCACCGATCGCACATTGTGGCAGCAGTCAGCGCGCATGTCTGATAGCTAGAGCAGCAGCGTCAGGGTCGCAGGGTCGGATCGTGTCAAGCCTCTCGCCCGGCCGGCCGCGTGCAGACGTCGGCGCCTGTCTGCTGCCTGGAGTGATCTGTTGGCGGTCAGTACGACCGATCAGGTTGGACGGTTTTCTGATGATTGGAGGGTCTATCTGTATGTACTCCTCGAGATATCTCCAAATCTGCCCTCTAATCAACCGTATCATTCGGGAAGTCGGTGCTAGCTGAGACTAGTGGAGCCGGGGCCCCGTTTCGCGTTTGCAAATTTTCAAATTTTGCAACATACTCCTTACTCCGCACCCTGCGGCGCGCGGCGCACGGTGCCTCCGGGGGCCCCCGCCTCCCCTGGCCAGAGCGCAGAGGGCAGGCCCCAGGGGCCTGTTTTGTGTTGATGTCAACGAGAATCGAGATTAAATTCACAAGACAAAACACGCAAGTTCATGACGTTCATGCAGTACGAGTCTATCATGCAATATATATTAGAGTTGTGTCTGAGTTGTCTGTTGTGTTGGTTGAAGACTGCGCGCGAAACCAAGGCGCAAGGGCTGCGCCCTGCGCGGCGCCGACGCGGGCAGGCTCTCTCTGCCCGCTCGGCGCTCGTCTCGGCCGAGTCGCGACAGGGGTGCTGTGGCTGGCGGTGGCGCTGCCGGCGCGCCTTGACGCTCCCGGAGCCCCGAATTCGACGCCCCTCACGCCCTCCCCTCCTCACGAGGAGACAGCGCCGCCACGGCTCCCGCTCCTGCGGCCGGCACCGCGGGCACCGCGGGCGGCGGAGGCGGCACGGCCGTCGCGTCGCGCCGTGAGGTTGCGGGGCGCAGCAGCCGGGTGGTGACCTCGACGCCGAGGAAGAGGCACGCGTTCGCGGGGAAGGCGCGCACCACCGCCGCCGTCCAGCCGCGGAAGAGGCCCTGCACGCCCTCCGTCGCGACGATCCTCCGCACGAGGGGGAGGGCGCGGCTCTCCGCGCCCGACTGCACACGCGTCTTGACAACGTCGAAGGGCAGCACGAGCGACCAGCCGATGCAGCCTCCGAGCCCGCCGGAGAGGAAGACCCACCCCGTCGCCAGCTCCTCCTTGCGCTGCACTCCCGTCAGCCGCATGAAGAGCGTGCAGAGCGACTCGTACGAGCCTGGAGAGGCGGCGGCCTGGGGTGGGCGGGAGCGGGCGCGGCGGGCGGGCGAAACGATGCGGCGGGGCGGGGCGCGGCGCCGTAGAAGAGCGTGTTGTACGGCACGTCGCGACACACGAGCGAGCCGATGCCGCGGTAGAGGCCGGAGAGGCCCTCGCTGCCGACCAGGCTGCGGAGCTCGCGCAGCAGGGCGGCGGGACCCGCGTCGACGAGGTCGTGGTTGAGCTGCAGGCGCACTTTGAGCACCTCGAACGGGCAGATCGCCACCGAGGTGAAGACGCCCGTGACAGCGCCGAGCCCGAGCTCAGTGCCGACCGACGGCCGCTGGCCGCCGTCGTCGACGCCGAGCGCGCGGCGGAGAGAGCGCTGGACGGTGATGCCGACCGAGTTCTCCGCAAGCGCAGAGGAGAGCGCCGGCACCATCCCGCGGTACAGGGCGAGCGCCCCCTCGGTCCTTGCCGTGGTGAGGAGGCAGTCGGCGAGGCCGCTGTAGGCGTGGCCCGCGCCGCCCGCCTGGAGCCGCGCCTTGGCGACGTCGAACGGCAGGCCGCCGAGCGTGCAGGCTGTGGCACCGACACAGCCGGCAGCGGTGTCCACCAGATCCGCCATCCGAGGAGGAGTGTCGAAGGCGTTGGCAGCGCAGGAGGGGACGCGCTTTCTTCAAGTCAGTCCGCGCCAGTCTGCGCCCTTGTCGTGCCAGTGTGCTGTGAGAGAGGCTTGTATCTTAAGAATTCTTCAAGTCTCAGCGGCCCAAGAAGTAGTCGGCTATCGGGCGCCTCTCGTGCATGTTTACGTTTTTCGTTTTACCGTCGTTTTCTTCCCCTGCTTGCTCACACACGCGCACAACTCTGGTTGACGGTTGAGACCCTCCCTCAACCCTTTAGTTGGGGGTTGAGGCCTCCAGGGCCTATTCACAGCCTTGTTATTGAGAAGAAATTACGGCCTATGGCGCTGAGAGAGAGAGAGAGATTTTTAGAAGCCAACAAGAAATGTGGCACACAGAGTGATTTGGGCTCGGCAGCTTGTCGACTACCAGCCGGAGCCGGAGTCGGAACCGTAGCCGAGATGGTCGTCGGAACCGTCGGAACCGTAGCCGAGATGGTCTTCGAGGGTGTCGAATATGTCATTCGCCTCGCTAGTGGAGCCGGAGCCGGGTGCATCGTGACGGCTGACAACGGGATTTCCACTGGTTCGTCCTCCTCGGAGTCGTCTTCCCCGGCTTCCTTCCGCTCGGCTCTTCGCTCGGTACGTTCGGTGTGGCTCATCCTCCATGCCGTGAACAGGCGCTTTATCCACCCTATATTCTTCTCTCGTTCCTCTGCCCGTGCCTTGGTCTTGTCGTTGTTTCGCACCCATGTCTGTATGGCAATCGAGGCTGCCTTCCCCACTACCTGTAGTTCACTCGTCACCTCCCCCGCGAGCTCCCCTCTCTTTCTTTCGGGTATGGGGTCCGTGAGTCAGCGCAGCTGCCGCTCAGTATGTGCGCCAACGACGCCTGTGGTGGCTCACTGTCTTCTTGTTTCCAGTCGTCCCAGTCTCTCAGTTCTCCGAGTCTCCTCCTTGCCTCGCGCGCCTCTTTTGTGGCCTAATCCCTAGCCGCCTTGCACGCTCTGCATCCCCAGAACGCGCTTCTCGTGGCGGGGCCCCTCATTCCCCGCTTCTTTTCCCCCTCTAGAATACGCCTGTGGTGTGCACCATGTGGCACCCCGACCTGTTGTCTCACCCTGGCCCCCAAGATCGTTTTGGTCGTCACATTGTGATCCCCGACGTCGTCAAATGTCGCTCGCCTGTCCTTCCCCCCGTTCTCGTCTGGTAATCTCATTTTATTATCCCATCGATGTTTGAGGCTGGCTACCGCCACTTCGCTCCACAACCGTCCCGCCACCCCTGCCGTGTGCGACCCCGGCCTCACCGTCTTTCGAAGTTGTTCGCACACCCACTCGTGCGCGCTCTTACACATGTGCCCGTACGTCCGTCGGCCCGCTATCTCCCTCTTCTCTGTGTTCCCTGCCGCCTCCCTTCGCACCGTGTACATGCATGGCCGCGTCCGCACCGCGTCCCGCACCACTTTCGAGGCGTCCTCCGTGTCGTGATCTGTGATCTGTAAGGGTCCGCCCGCAGGCGCATTTTGTATACCGAGGCGGTGCCCGGTGCCGAACCTGTCGGACCTTGAGACAGCGTTGTAGATCCCTGGGCGATCCTCCGTGTCGTTATTTCCGAGGTGTGCTGTCGCCACCGCGTCGGCGTATGCGTTGCAGGCTATTCCCACGTGTGCTGGCACCCACATGAAGACCACCGCCTCTAGCTTCGATCTGTAGTAAGCAATCGCCTCTAGGAGCCCACCTCTCTCCCAGTCCCTCTCAGGCCTTCTGGCATCCCTTTGCGGTGCGCATTCTCAATCTGCTGCAGCGCGGGTTTGCAGTCGCATAGCACTAGGCACCGCCGCGATTGCGCATCGCTCGCGCTCGCCATTTTGCGTAACTACCACCGCTCTGAGTAGATCGGTGCCGGGCGTTTTTTTTTGCTTAATCAAGGTCTGCGGAAAACTGCGCTCTCATCGTTGCTCGGCATCGAGCAGCATCTCCCGCCAGACCGGTCTCGACGGCGGCACGCTCTCTCTGACCTCAATGCGCTCTCTACTCCTGCATCCGCTCACTCGGCTGCGGGCGCCCACCGCCTCAGCATCACGCGGCGGCGGCGTCCGCAGCGACCTCGGAGTCCTGCTCTCGCCAGAGACGACTCTCGAGCCGCTCAACGCAGCGACCGCGCCGTGGCTACGCGCTGTGGTGTGGACCGACTTCCGGCTCGCGGTCAGCCTCTTTGTCGTGGCGCCACTCGCGATACTGGGCTGGTCCGCCTACGCATGCCGACCGTCCGCGCTCGGTGGCTGCGGGGGCAGGTCGCAGGCGGCTGAGGCGACTCTGCGAATCATGACCAGCTACTGGCAGGCGTCGTCACTGCTGCTCGTTACGGTGGCCTTCAACATCCAGCAGAGCCAGCTGGGTGTCCCGACGGGGCTGGTCGCCCAGGCAATGATACTCGTGAGCCTATGCTGGTGGTCTGATCTCGACGAGGAGGTGAGGTCGGCCGAGCCCTCCGCGTTGCGCGCCGCCTTCTTGGGATGGCGGGCGCTGGCGTGCGTGGCTGCTGCGGGCGGCGTGCTCGTGCAGGCGCCATTCCAGCCGTGCCTCGCCCTTCCTGCTCTCGCGTCCGACGCGAGCTGCGCTGCTTGGCTCGAGCCGCCGCTCTTCGCCGCCAGCCTCGTGGGCCTCACGCCCTCGCCGGAGCTCGGCAGGCTCGCCGACGGCTTTTGTGCGCTCTACTTTGCCGTCCTGGCCTACTACGGCGCGGTGATCCTGCCACGGGTCGGCCGACGCGGGCGAGCGCCGCGGCCGCGCCTCATGAACGTGGGATCACCCATCGGGGCGTGGCGCATGCTGGGCTTCATAAGCGAGCAAGATGTGGAGTGAACACGTGGGTATGCCATCCAGAAACAGAGATAGAACTGGGCTCGTACGTACGCGGTACGGTAGACGAGCGCGCACTTTACTCTCTCTTTAGCAAAAGGTTGCTTCTATGTTGCCCCGATGGCGATGCCGCGCGATCGTGCTGCGGTCGTCCTGCTGAACAAGCTCTCCTTGAGCACTTGAGCACTGCCACTGGATAGCTGTGTCGATTCCGCATGGTACAGGACCCCTCGATCGTCTCGCCCTCCCTCGCTGGTGTGTTCATTGGGGGGGTCATAACAAACACGGCTCTACTTCTAGCTCTCCTCATTCGCTCTTGAGGTCTTTTGGCTTCGATCGCGGATCGGTCCTCCGTCATCGGTCACCGCCACATCCGGCCCATGTTCGCCGCCGACGTCTATCCCAGAGTGAGAGAGGTGATGGAGAGGGTGGACGAAATTTTTCGGCGGCGTGCACCTCGTCCTCGATCCTCGATCCTGTACGTGTTTGTTATGACCCCCCCCCCCCCCCCCAATGAACACACCAGTGAGGGAGGGCGAGACGATCGAGGGGTCCCGTGCACATGTACATGGAGCACCATGCGGAATCGATCGAGACCCTACCTGCTACCACTGTGTGTGTCTGTGTGTGTGTGTGTGTGTGCTCACTCGAGTGCTCAAGCAAAGGTGGATGGTAAGAGTTGCCGACGAGGTCGTAGAAACAGTTTTTAGAAGAAGGGGTGGACGGTAAGAGTTGCGCTCGTAATAGCAATTTCACCGGCGTAAAACTTGCAGATGTGGGAATTGCGGAATCACGTGCGGAATAACTCCAACAAGGTGTGCTCGCCGGTGGGGCGGCATGAAGGTGCGTGGCTCGTTCGTCACTGACGTCTACCTCTCACTCAAGACCGCCGACTCTGGCCGCCGGCTGCGGATCGAGTACTCGCCCAACCAGCCGCCAACGCCGATTGTACACGGGGTGAGCAGCACGCCAGTGAAGCGGCTGCGCGTCGGTGACAAGCCTATCGAGATTGAGGATGTGAGCATAGCGATCGAGAGTCGCCAGGGAGGGCGAGGCGGCAAAGCGGAGGTGCTCAAGGTGAAGACGGCAGGCTGGCGGCTGGAGGCTTCATCACGTCTCATATGGCGCTCGACAGTGCCGGGCAAGAAGCAGATAGACCTCTCGCTAGCGCCTCAGCGCGACCCCCTTGCTCCGCAGCGAAACGACGGCTTTGTGGTCGCGCCACATGGTCTACTCGGGCAGTCATACGATGGGGACCAGATCGCCGTTGACGGCCGGGTGGACCATTACAACGAGCTCTGGAAGGCCCAAGGCTCGACGCACGAAATCACCACTCAGGCGCAGGCGGAAGGTGCTATCGAGGGGAGCGGTGACGACTACAAGATGACGGAATTTTTCGCAACCGACTTCAAGTACTCCCGGTTCTCAGCCGCACAAGCCCCGGTCCGCAACGTCACTCGACTCTCGGGAGCCCACCGCACAGCGCTGCGCCCTGGCTCTTCCAATTGGAATGTGGCGGCCGGCATGGCTGGTGACGATGAGAAGCTGGCGTAAGCCCGTCGGGCTCGTGCGTACACACACACACACACACACACACATACACACACACACACACACACACACACACACACAGAGAGAGAGAGAGAGAGAGAGAGAGAGAGAGAGACTTGAGAGAGATGAGAGACACACACACACACACAAACTGGCCGCCCACACACCTACCAGGCTAACGACACACGTGTTGCGATGCGAATTGTTTTGCAGATTTTGTTCGCAATAAACCCAAAAAAAATCGTCAAGAGAGAGTGGAGCGATGCACAGCGTTTTCCCACGTTTGCGGCCGCCGGTGTGGTGCGCGTGTTGTCCATGTTAAAGTATTCAGTAAACACATCGGCGGCATACTCTCGGGGGGTCTCTCTCGTGCTCCCGGGCCCACAGGCGCGCGCGCCACGCAGTGCGCAGGGCGCTCCAGAGACGCGCATAGAGTGGGATGCCACCTCCGACACGCGCGCGTCTCCGACCAAAACGGACGGCCGGCACGCATAAGCTTGGGTGGCTCCTCAGTCCTCTCCGCCGCCTCCCGCAACCCGAGAGCGTTCATCTCGGCCCGAGTGGCACAAGCGAGGGTCCAATGCGCGTTGCGGTGACTCCTCTCAGCCCTCGAGCTCACCTCGGAAGGTATTTGCCGCCTCGGAGCTGCGGGAGAGCACTGCGCGCGGGCCCTGCGCATACGCACCTGGGCACGGGACGGGTCGGTGAGTGTTGCAGCGGGTTGGCCCGCCCAGCGCCCTCGCAGCGGCGCGGCTCTCCTTGCGTCTTGACAAGAAAGCCCTCGGTCACCATCCGCTTCGAGATGAGGTCACACACCTGCGGCAGGGGCGCGGGGCCGTCGCGGAGTGGGGGTGGGCGCGCGTGGCCGGCCGCGGCAGCCCGGGGGCGGGCGGCTCGCCTTTGCGGTACCGAGGCCGGGCAGCGTGTCCTTCTCTTTGAGTCCGAGCTTGGGGAGCCAGGTCTCGGTCAGCTCGCTCTCGGGCAGCCTGCCGCCGTGGTCGCTCAGCAGGTTGAGGACCGTCTCCACCTGCGCAGGCCGACACGCGTGGGCGCGCTGCTCGGGCGACCCAACACCACTCGCCAGCTGCGCACCAGCGCGTAGAAGACGAGCTTGCCGTCCGCCGGCTCGGGCGCGACTGCGTGGGGGAGCACGTTGACGAGGAGGAGCTTGGAGGCCGCGCCACCGCCCACCGCCCGCTCCTGCGTCGCCTCCTGCGTCGCCTCCGCCTGCGATGGGCCGGCGGCTTGCGAGGCGTCGGGCGCGGCGTCCGCAGCCGAGTTGGCGGTGGCCAGCTCCAGGCCGCAGAGGTGGCGCAGCTTCTCGTTGGCGGCGGCGATGACCGCCTTGATAATCTTTCCGCCACGGTCCGTCCGGTCCTTGCCGAGCACGGCCTCCTTGAGCTCCGTCCTCGCCAGCAGCTTGCGGCTGTGCTCACGCATCAGCACAAAGCGGACGGCGGTAGCGCTCAGCTTCTCGAGCTCCGCGGCTTCCAAAGGGGGCGCCTGCGTCGCCTGAGACGCCGCCTGGGAAGCCGGGGGCTGGGACGCCTCCGGATCCTCATCGCCATCCCTGGAGCGCTTCCGCGGCATCAGTCTTGCGGGCCTGGCACTGGAGGCGACCTGCACCGCGTAGGCGAAAGAGTGCTTCCCAGCTCCCGCCAAGCCCGGTTTGTATTCTTTTGCCTGGGGCGGACAGCATCGCATGTCACTTCCTGTCGTCTGTTGTGTCGTTGTGCCCTTGTTTGTACTCTTGGCACCGTGGAGTGCTGGGGGGGGCGACAGGGAGGATATGGCCTTGAGTTATGTGTAAGCCGACTCAGGGTGTGTGGCAGCCCGCTGGCTGTGTGTCTTGTGAGCCTGTTTGTGTCTGTGTGTCGCTCGTGCGTGTCGTCATCATCTGTCCAGCGTCCACCCATACCGCGTTGGTGTCCAGTCCGAGCCTGGCTGTTCTTCACCTTTCTACCTACCTACCTACAGCATGCTGAAATTCTGGAAAAACCTGACCGGCCCCTGCGGTGCCCCTACCTACCTACCTACCTACCTACCCTACTTATGGGAAACTAAAAAAGAAATCACTCGATGGGTGAAGGTGGGGTACTATACCAACTAAAGTGATGGCTGGTGGTACTCTCCCTGCAATCACAGTCCTTCCTGTGACATGGCAGGCCACTATCAAGCCCTACAAGCACCAGATCACCCACTTGGGGAGGGTTGACGTCGTGATTTTCGCCGAAAATTTCTTTTTTTTGAAAATTCCGGCGTGAAGAGAGGGAAAAACCCGATGGGAGCGCCCAGACCTACCCTACCTACCCCGGCATGCTGTCCGCCCCAAGCAAAAAGAATACACACCTGGCCAAGCGAGTGTTTGTACACACATGCTAGCCGGCCGCCTAGCATGGACGACGGGGCACACGCACTCGCGGAACGCAGGGCATTACACACGAGGCGTTGTGTGCGTTCTCAGGGAAAGGCATAACCAGAGACAAAAGTATAGTCAGAGGGGCAGCAGTGGGGACCCCCACTCACGGCCCGCGAGCGCCTGCAGCGAGATGTCCATCGCTGCATTGGTTCTCGCCAAGCATGCGCGCACTGGTTTAGTGCGCGCAATGGCGCGGGGAGGGCGGCCTGGCCCTCGCCGGCATGGCAAAGACAGGGCAAAGAAGGCGTCGGGCGGGCGCCTGCGTCCTCTCCACAGGCACAGCGTCTGCCGTCTGCGGTCTGGCGCCACGTGGCGCGCCAGGCCGAGCGATCGGCGGCCAGCTCTCCCGCCAAACCACAAAAAGAATTTTAGCGGCGCGCAAAAAGAATTACACTCTGGAGGTATAATATTACACTTGACGACCCCGGCTAGTCGCCGACCACACCCACAAAGAACCCTGCACAAAGACCGCAGGGCGGGGACCTGTTCCTTTTTACCCATCTCCTAGTAGAGGTGTCCGTTTTATTTATTTATTTACACTTGACGCACAATATCCGACGAAACAGAAGCTAGCGCAGACGAGGGCAGGGCAGACCCGGGGACTGGGGAGCCGGAGCAGACGGCATCGGCCGCCGAGGGAACGTTGGGAAGAGGCACGAGGAGGGCGGCGACCTCAACCGACTATGGAGGACCCGTCACCAGACGACGCAGGGCGGACGACGGGGAGGCGGAGCAGACGCGCAGGGCGAGACGAGGGAGGGAGCAGGATGTTGCGGAGATCAGCAGGAGGATGTACGACGAGATTAGGAGCAGCAGGGACCCGAGGGACCATGTGGAAGACGGCTAGTGCTAGTCCCCCATCGGGAGGACGACCCCGGCTAGTCGCCGACCACACCCACTAGGGGTCGGGAGGGGAAAATCCGCGATTTTAGCGGTAAGCCGTCGGGCTTAATTTCGTACACCCGCGCAAAGCACTTGCCACGGGCAGTCACACAAGCCAATGGCGACAGCCTGGCGACCGCAGGGACACCCACAACGGACACACACATTGTGCAACTTTCCGGCTGCTGCGCTGTGCGGACGCGCGCTCTACCGCGATCGCGGGCCTCTAGAGGGCCACTACATGGCCGCGCGCCCCTTGCGCGCACCGGCGCGCCTCCGCAGCTCGCCCTCCGACAGCCTCCAGCCGATGTGCACGTCGTCGTTGAAGTTGGCCTCGGTCAGGATCTCCCATGACCACGACTCGGGCTCGTCGCGCTCGGCGTCTGCCGGCCAACGGATGCGCGCCGCGCCGGCCTTGGCGAGCTTTTTGCACCTTGGCTTGTCGGGCTCCTGCTTGTCGGTCGTGCCGTTGGCGATCTGCGCGATTGGGGCGAGTGGGCGCAGTGAGCATCATGTGGCATGAGTGTGTGCGAGGTGGACGAGTGGCATGGGGAGGCGGCTGGTCGGGCGACGACACACCTGCACAACGGTGCCGAGGCACCACATCTTCGCCCCCTTCCGGCGCTGCCTGCCGCTCGCGTCGGTGTAAGGCACCCAGTAGCGCCAGCAGATCTCCAGCTCCGCCCCCACGAGCGAGTCGTCGCAGGGCGGCGCCTCCTCGGGGTTCTCGTCCGCCACGCGGTCGATCTCGCCCGCCTCCTCGAGCCGCACGCGCTCGCGCTCCGCCCGCTCCAGCAGCTCTTCCGCCCCGTACTCCTGGACCCGGCTCGCAATCTCCTTCGCCTGACGGGTCGGCGTGCCCAGCTCCTTGAACGTCTTGCGCCGCACGGTCGGGATGGGGCAGCGGTCCGGCAGCTCGCACGCGCCCCGCCGCTCCTGCTCCTCCTCGAGGATCTCCTTGAGGTGGCCGGTCAGGTCCTCGACGGTGCCGATGTCCTCGTCCTTGCTCGAGCCCCACTGCAGCTGGTAGTTGAAGCTCAGGCCGATGACCCGCATCTCGCACTGCTCTCGGAGCCAGTCGAGCTTGGCCTGGTTGCCCGCGATCTTGGCGAGCTGGACCGTCATCTCGCGGATGGAGCTCACGCCGCGCGTCTGCCAGCGCTGGAAGAAGGAGAGCGCGAGGCCGTAGCGCCTGACGAGCGCGTCCAGCTCGAGCTGGGAGTTGGTCTTGCGCTTGTGGGCGACGTAGACGTCATGCTCCTGCGGCGAGGGAGGGAGGGAGCGCGCTCTCTTACCCGCCGGCGGGCTGCTACTGGTGAAGGATAGAGCGGCGCCTTGTGGTGCGCCCGGTCGACGGCGCGCTCCGAGCGCACCGAGAGCCGAGCCTCCTCGAGGAGCACCTCCTGCATCTCGCGGCTCAGCTGCCAGAAGGCGCCGTCGGACTCGAACGATTTCGTCGACAGCGCCTGCGCCAAGGCGGAGGCAGCCTCGACGGTGATGCCCGGATAGCGACGCATAATCATGTCGACGCGGCCAAAGACGGACTCGGCCAGCCGGTCGTTGGTCGCGTCGAGGCCGATCGTGTCGACGTGCGCCTGCTCCATCGCCTCGTACGCGTAGGCGCCGCCGAGCGCCGTCACGTGCTTCGCCAGTGCGAGCTTCATGTCGCGAAGCTTGCGCAGGCCGCCGGCCGCCTGCACCTCGAGGTACTCCACCGTCTTGGCGCGCGAGGCGATGTTGGTCGGGTCGGTCGGATTGAGGAGCTCGCCGAGCGCCAGCTTGTAGAGCAGGAGCGGCGTCTTGCCGTCGGGGGCGAGCACCGTCTCCTCCTCGTACGTGTAGCTGCGCCACTCGGCAAACCCGCGCTGCTCCGCGGTGATCGGGGCGTAGACGTCGAGCGACGAGTCGAGCAGCACGCTGCCGTCGGCCGCCGCCCGCTCCAGGATGGTGTACACGCAGTCGAGCGCGCGGTTCATGCTCAGGGGCGACCAGTTCGTAAGCTTCGACGTGTCGAACGTGTTGCCAGCGAGCCAGCGGTACGGACGCGAGATCAGCAGGTCGATGACGGCGTTCGCGCGCGTCATGGCGATGTACTCGTTCGCGGTAAAGCAGACGTACAGAAAGTCCTCGAGGACGTTCGAGTGGTCGTTCGAGAAGACGAGCATGGCGAGGAACTCGACGATGTACTTGCGGTTGACGTACATCGCGATGGCCGCGTCGTAGTCGAGGTCCTGCGGGGCGAGACGCGGCTGAGATTGTGGGGAGATTGCGGGGAGATCAGACACGCCGCAATCCGGTGGGCGCGTCACCTGGCGGCCGCCATCGGCGCGCTCGAAGTGGATCGCAAACGCGGAGGGGTAGTTCGCGAGTAGCCACGCCGAGAACTCGACGCCCTTGCCCTTGTAGTAGCGCTGCGTGTGGTGCAGCTCCTTGTACGTCGCGCGCAGCAGCTGCGTGAAGTCGGTCGACATGCGCTCCCACGCGCTGAAGTTATCCAAGTGCGGCTTGAGCTCCTCCGCGACGTGCCGCGCCTGCGCGCCGGACATCTCCTTCAGGAAGATGTTCCGCATGTGCTGGTGGCAGTCGAGCAGGTGGACGCGCAGCTCGTGCTCCTTCTCCTCGACCGAGAGGCCGTCCCAGGCGTCGCCCATCTTCTCGCGCGCCATCTCCGTCGCCTGCTCCTTGATAATCTCGGAGAGCAGCCGCTTGGTCTTCTCGGCCGTGGGGCACGTGTCGGACATGAGCGCGCCGCCGCCTGCGAGCCGCGCCAAGGAGAGAGCGGCAGCCTCAGGTCCGGGCCACGGCACGCCCGGGTGCATCAACCGCCAGCGCCGCATCAACCGGTTGATAAAGTCGCGCCCGCGGGCAAAGCACTTCGTCTCGATCGTCTTGGCCTCGCCCGCGGCGGTGCCGTCCGGGGAGAGGTAGGAGGCGCGCAGGATCACCGCCTTGAGGGGGGCGCCCTTCTTGGGCTCGATGACGACGTTCGAAGTCATCATTGGCTTCCCGAACTTTGTCGTCCCGTCGAAGCCCATCATGCGGATGCTGTACGCGCCGGCGACCTCCATGAAGGCGAGCGCCTCCTCGATGAAGCGCAACTCGAACCGCCACTCAGTCAGCGCGCGTGACGACGGCTCGTCGATGCTGAGCCACGGCGCGACGGCGCGAAGGACGCAGCGCACGTTCGGGACCACGGCGGACTGCGGCGTCATGTTGGACATCATCGCGAAGGCGGTGGTGCGCCAGAGGAAGCCGAACTTCTTGGCGCCCTTGCCGCCGCCCGCGCCGCGCGCCTCCCTCTCCCACACGTCCATGGCGAGCACCTTCCCCTGGGACTCGTAGAGCGTCTCCATCTCGGTCGGGTCGGCGCCGGGCTGCGCCTTGAGCTCCTCGCACTCCGCCTCCGTCGCGGCCAGCTTATCCTTGAGCGCCTTCAACTTGTCCAGCCGCGTGTCGGCGAGCTCGCTCAGCGCCTCCGCCCTGGCCCGCTCGCCCCGCTTCTCCGCGTGCGCGTCCGTCTTCAGCCGCTTCGCCTGCACCAGCTTCTTCTCGATCGCGCCGGTCGCCCGCTCGAGCTCGCCCTGCGCGCGCGCCTTCTCGCGCAGCAGCTTGTCGTCGTACTCGCTCTCGAGGCGAGAGCGGACCTTGCTGACCTGCGCGGCGACCGTGTCGGCGATGCGGATCTTGCCCTTCTCCTTGGCGAGCCGCTGCGCCTGCGACTTGAGCTGGTTCGCGTGCGTGAGCTTCTGCTGCAGCTCCTTGTTCTGCTGCTCCGCCGCCTCGAGACGCTCGTGCAGCACCGCCTTGGAGCACTTCGGCTCGAACGTTGGCTCAGTGGCGAGGACGGCCACGCGATCTCGAAGAACTCGGCCGCTCACGCGCAGCAGCGCCGCCACCGCCGGAATCGCGGCCACATGCCGCGGCGACGCGTTGCCGCTACTGTTGCGCACCGGCCCGGCGATCCTGCGCTTGGACTTGGGCGCGCGCAGCGCGACGACGTAAGCGTCAACTTGAGCTGGCGTGACGACGCCGACGGAGCCGCTCCACGTGCTCACCACGGCGGCGGCGGTCTCGACCTCGCCGCCGCCGATCCGGACCGACAGCGCGGTGTCGAGGGGCTTCAGCACGGGGCCGTGCGTTGCCCAGGTCGGAGAGGAGGAAGGCGGCGCCCACACCTGGCCGTCGAGGCCGCAGCGGCCAACTCGGTCGGCGTCGCTCTCCGCGTTCAAGACCCACTGCTGCGCGGCGCGCACGTCCGAGCGGAAGTAGAGCAGCACGAGTGTGCCGATGACCTGCACCTCGATCACCGTCGCCGCCGCCTTGCCCGGGGCGTAGAAAGGTCCATCGGGCGTCGGCGCGAGTGGCGCGGGAGCGGCCGCAAAGATTGAGCTGTCCTCGGGCTCGACCGCCATCGGCGCGGCCGGCGACTGCATCTCCTCCCAGAGCCGCTTCTGCTCGTCGGACAGGGAGTCGAAGAAGTGCAGACTCGCCACGACCTGCTCGCTGTTGCCCAGGCAGACGGGCCCGCCTGCGCAGAGCGGCGCAGAGCGTGTGAGTTTGCAGGGCTGCACGCGGCTGTGGGCCGCACTGTGGGTGGATCCAAGGGCGGGGCGCGCTGAACACCTGCTGGCTGCGTCGGTTCCGCTGGGTTTGGCTGGGTTTGGGCCGCTCCAAGCATCAGGAGGCTGGGCTGCAGCAGCCAGTGAAAAGCTCGCCAACTGCCACGGATCACCTTTCCCGCGCAAAACGGAGGCCCTGGAGCGCTGCCATAGGGCGCGGTGGTGCCCCAAACCTCGCCTGGAAGCGCAGCAGATCGGCCGGGCGGCTAGCGGACTAGCCCGGCCGGGTCGCGCATGAGACGGAGAGTCGGAGGCCATCGAAGTCGAAGCGAGGCTGGATTTGAGGATTTTTGGCGACCTGGAATTTATTTGTTTTTGGGGACCTCGAATTTATTTTTCTGGCGACCTGTCCCGACCCCTACACCCACAAAGAACCCTGCACAAAGACCGCAGGGCGGGGACCTGTTCCTTTTTACCCATCTCCTAGTAGAGGTGTCCGTTTTATTTATTTATTTATTTATTTACAGCAGAGCTGCCGAGAGACGGCTCTCAAAATACGCCCCCTCCAGGACGACCGCGAGCGCACGTTCGCATGCGGCACGGGGAAGGGGGGCTCACAGAGTGTCAGACGCTATTGTAGACTTAGGAACTCTAGTCGGGAGCATGGCGGGCTATGCGACATCGTAGTTGAGGGCGACCCCCTCGAGGAAGTTGCGCAAATCGTCCGAGGCGACGCGGCAGACGGCGGACTCGAAGGACTCGTGCGCCACGCGCGCCTGGAGAGCGAGGCGGGGAGATAGGCGGAGAGGGGGGGGCGAGGGGGGGGGCGGCACGGGGGCAGGAGAGTGCGGGCGCGGGACCGTCCGCACCTTGACGCGCGGGTCTCGCGCTGCCTCGAGGAAGGCCTTCCCGAACGCGTTTCGCCCGCCGCTGGGGCCCCAGAAGCGCGCCGAGCCGAGCACCGCGACGACGAGGTGCGTACGGTCCTTCTTCGGCGCTGCGATCAGGACCGGGATGGCCTCCTTCGAGTTTTTGCGCGTCTCGCGCAGCGCGTCGGCGAGGAAGAGGGCGAGCTTCGTGAGCGACTGCTCCTGCGTGAACTTCTCAGTCTCCACCGACTCGCGCAGGATGACCTGCAAACGGCGAGTGGGGGGGGGGGGGGGGAGCGAGTCGCGAGTCGGCACGGGCACGCGCGGCGGCCCCGCCGCCTCTGCCGCCTCTGCCTGCGTAAAGTCGCCGAGCTGCTCGAAGTTCCTCGTCGCGAGGACGGAATGGCCCGTCGAGATCATCGCGCGCATGAGCTCTTTGGAGCGCTCGATGCCGCGCTGCTGCACCTCCTCGCGCGCCTTTGCGCTGCTCGAGGTGAGCATGCGGAGCGCGTG